CTATGCCCAGGGAAGCTGCTGCCTTCCTCCTTCTCTTCCCCATCACAGATTGTGATAAGGGTCTCCCATCCTGTTGATTTCTGTGCCTGGAGATCACCGTGGGTCTGACTGACACTGCCCTGGGCCAGCTTAGCCCTGTCTCTTAGCTGTATGGTGTGGAGGAACCACTGGAGGTGGCTTCTGTGTTTTGGCTTTGGGGCTCAGCTCCTCCACACTCCCCCCGTGAGTCACTTCTGGCCAAATATTAATGCCAATCCTGACCGTGTTTCCCCCAGGGTGGGTTTGAGGGTGAGGAGTCGTTGATGCTTTAGAGCCACGGAGCAAATTGTGCTGGACCTGGGCTCTGCACTTCTCCCTGTGCTTGCTGGGTACTACTCAGCCGGCCCTGGGCTAGCTGGTCCGCGAGTCCAGGAAGTGAGGTGTGGCTGGGGGGGGGGTGTTCCTCCTGTCAGCCGTCGTGCCTGACCCAAAGTCGCTGATGGTGGTGGTGTTCTCCCTGCTGAGAGATAGCTGCCAGACTTGCAGTGCTGTGTCTCCTTGAGCAGGTGAAGAAGGTTTGCAGAGGAGCAGGGAGACTCAGTGGTCTGCCACACACCCAGATGGGTCAGAGGATGTGTGGGGGGAGGATGGTGCAAAGCAGGCATGCCGTGTGGCGTAGCGGGCGAGTGCTGGCTGTGGCAGACAGCTCTGCATGGCCCTGGTACCTCGCTGTGGGCTGAGATCGGGCACAGCTGCCCCAGGAGATAGAAAAGGTGATGGTGCTGACCAACCAAATCTGACTGTGCCCAGAGAAACACACTGGCAGAACAACCGCAGTGATTCAGTGTGAGCAAATTGTGACAGCCAGCGTGACCTCTAACCGTTGCCTGCTCCCTCCCCTGCCTCTCATTTCATGGAGTCCTGGTTGCATTCACTGGTTCAGTCCTGTCAGAAGCCAGTGGGAAGTCTCTACCTTCCCTTTTTTTCTGTACACAGGGGATGCTGAGCTTGGCAGGCCCCTAATCTAAAGTAAATCATACTAATGCCAGGGAGATTTGAGCCTGTGTGTGTTGTCACCGGTTTCCTAAGCTTGTGTTTCGCCACCTTTCCAGCTTTGTGGCTTTGGCAGGGGAGATGCAAGTTGCCATGTACAATGTAAAAGTTGGGAAACAAGGAATAGACAAGGCTTGCACAGACCTGCCAAGAGCCAGCGGTGACAGGTTGGCTTCTTTCAGTAAATTCCTGTTAAGCTCTCGGGCAGGATGGGGGTGAGGGCTGTCGTGCACTGGTGTTACCTGCGTGGTGTGCAGTTCTGCAGCACAGTGTGATTTTAATCCAGCTGGGGACTCAGCTGGAAAAATGTATGAAATACAGTACAGGCTTGGCTACAGTTGACACGGTGATGGGGACACTGTAAGAAACAAGTGGAAGCTGCAAAGCTAAAAGCATCATGGAAGTATAAGCATGGTGAGCCTGGCATCCCGCGATGATTGGTGACCACGGGCTGGCCATGGTGTCCAAGGGGTGCTGCACAAGGAACTCCTGAAGAGAAGGAATGTCCCCAGAGTGGTGTTTGTGCCCCTTTTCCTGCCTTTTCCTCTTGGGGACAGAGATGCCTGTAATCCCTCATTCATCTAAGGCACTGAATTTCTGTCCTCTGCTCACTGACCCGGAGTGGATAGGGTATACCTTGTGTCTGCCCACCCAGTCAACTGTCACAAGGTCAAAGAGAAACCAGCAGAAAGGTCTGACAGATGATTCTGTGAAATACTGTTGAGAATGAGGGATAAAATAATGTCATGAGATGAGTGATATTCTGGGTCTGTTAAGCCAGAGAGGGGCTGGACTGTGGGAATGAGCTGTGTCCTGGATTTGCTGCCAAAATCATGTCACATTGTCTTCCAGGTTGGCAGGTCACTGCTGCAGCTTCACCTGGGACGCAGCTGGTAAGGCAAACTTGTGTGTTTAAAATACGTGTCACCCGTGTCTCTGCTCACAAAGTACGTGTGGGTTGGTGGTCAGTGTGGGCCCCTTGCTGACAGCAACGCGTGGATGGGAACAGTTGCCACAGCCAGATGCAGTGCGGTGGGCATAGAGGCAGGTGATGGGTGTCTCCCAGTGAGGGGAGTGGGGAGGGCTTCTCTGGGTCTTTGCAGGGATTCAGTGCAAGCGTGTCACCAGGCAGTTCAATGGAGGTGACCCCCATCGACCACACTCAGATCATCAGGGGAACAGTCCGTCCCATTGGCCCTCATGCCTGAGTGATGAGAGGACTCACATAACCCTGAACTTCCCAGCTCTGGGAAGGACAGGGCCAGGACTGCTATGAATTTTGCAGATGGCAACTACCCAGCATGGCAAGCTACAAGCTCTGGATCTAGGCACAGGCCAGGTCCAAGCACAAATGGTGGCAGCTGCCATGCTTGGCTGTATGCAGTGATCACAAATAACGTGCTGCCATTGTAACCGCCTGGTAAGAGTGTCTCTTTTCTCTCTTTCTCCCGGTGCAGTGCTCCAGCTCCCCTGTCAATGGTGAGTCTCTTCCCACGTCATCTCCATGAGGAAGATTGAGATATGGTTCTGTATGCATATTCCTATCACGGTTCCTTCATCTTTGTCTCTCTCTTTTTTGGGGAGTCAGAATCTGCTGTGTGCGCTTCAGTGACAAGGTAAGTGGCCCATCAGCAAATTATCTTGGCAGCGTTTTCCCTTGGGAGTCATGCTGGTTTGTTAGGGATGTCACTTGGGGTAGCAGGAAGCCTCTGAAACCAGGTTTAGCATCTTCCTCCCCACTAAGTCCCAGGGTTGCCTGTGGATGGGGAGTGCACTAGTGCTCACTGAAACAGTGAAGGGAGAACGCCTTACTGGGGCTCTGTGTCTGTGCAGGACAAAGAAAGGCAGGGCAAGTCCCTGGTGTGTCAGCCAGCCTGACGCGGTGGGGATTTACGGCTCTGAGAGCCTTGGCATTGGTGCTGAGCTTTGCTTAGCTGGCAGAAGGGGCCTAAGGCACACAGGTCCACGTGAAGCCTGCATTGAACTTGATTTCTACCTAAGGGTCAACAGTTTACAAGTACCTGCTCCCAAACCGTGCCAGCAAATAATTCTCATCGCTTGTGTTGTTTGTTCTGTATTTGTTACGTGGGCTGTGCCTCGTTGTTATGGCTCCCGGGCATTGCTCCTGTCCCCAGCGGGTGGGCTGGACCCTTTACACGGTGTGGCTAATCCCTGCTGTGCCTGAACCAAACTGCCTAAAAGCACGGGGTCAGGGTCATTCACAAACTTTTGCTGGCTGCCAGGGCTTGGGATCTGCATGTGCAGGCAGTGCCAGCTCCCAGCCAGTTCTGCCCTGAGCTGCCACAGCCTGGGGCAGCTGCCACGGAGGCGATGTCTTTGCTTTCTTCCCTCAGTGTCAGCCAAGAGATGCTTCTTGAGGTAGCCCATGGCCAAGCCTCCCCGTGCAGCCTCACTTTCGGTCAATACGCCTGTGCACAGGTAACAGCCCCTTTTTTTCGTGAGCGAGTGTGGTGTTTTCCTTGGCAGTGGTGCCGTTTCTAGCTTAAAATCAGTCCCACTCTTGAGTGTGAGTGGGGTGGCCAAAGCCTTGTGCTTGGGCTCTGGGTTGTCGAGGTTTCCCTCACAAGACGGCGAAGGGATGGGGTCAAACACACAGAGACCCGCGTCATGAGGCTCGAGTGCCTACACCACCATTGGGGCTCTCTGTGGAAGTGGGTGATGCTTTCTTTTCCAAACCTCTCCAGTGAAAGTGGGACAAAGGAGGTTTCCAAGACAAATTGGCTCTTAGGAACTGGCATCATAGCGTTGAAGCAAATCTCTGCGTGAGAGTAACCCTGGTCCATTGGGGTAAACCATAATAAAAAGTGGTAAAAACACAACAGAAAGTGGTTCCAGTGTGGAAAATGACACCTGGAATATTACAGGTATACTTCCTTTCCTGCTTTTGTCATTACCCTGAAGTTGCTGTGCTGCCAGGAATTGCAGTTGAATTGTCAACGGTTTGTATTTTCCCATAAAAGTTTCTAAGAAAAAGATGTCATTTCTTCAAATATTCATTGGTTTGTTTTTTTGGGGGGGATTTTGTCATTGAAAAATGTTTCTGGGATGAGAAAGTTCCCTGTGGAAGAATCCACTTTGATCAAATGGCCTTTTTTTGTTGTTGTTTTTTGGTAGAAAACCATTTTGAATAAAATTTAAAGCCCCCCTTTGCTAGAGGGCACACAGATTAGGTAACAGAAGGATCACCCAGTGTTTGGAACGGGGTAAATTCAGACTGGCTTCAAGTCAGTGTAAATCTGCCTTTCTTTTGACTCTTCTGTCAGCAGGTTTCATCATCTTACAGTGCTGAATGCTGACGTGTAGGGGAGCTTGTGGAGCAGACCTGAGGGAGATTGCACGCTGCAGCATCTCTGAATGTGACACACCTTTTCATATCTCTCTTTGGATTTCCCTTTTTCAGAGTGCTTGGCTCCAGAACCTTCAGGATGATTTCCTCATATCCTTATATTCTTGCCTCGCCCCTAAATCTGTCAGTGCCATGGATCCAGAATACTCCGTCCTGTTCTTTTCCAGATATGATGTTAAGAAGCTTGTAGCTGCCCTGGCTATGTTCAGCCAACAGGTGCGTATCACATATCCAACTATTTGTTCCCCTCTAATGCCAGGGGAAGGCTTTAATTAACATTACATTATTTTCTTGCTGGGAAGACAGAAGTAACAACCCTGAGTTCATGTAGGTTAGCTGTTGCTGATTGCAGTGGCAACACAGACCTGGGATTCTGATGGGAATTAGGGGCCGACTGTACTTGAATTCCATTAAATATTGCTGTGGTGGAAGAGTCGCTATCCAGAGAGGGGATTATTGCCAGGGGCAAATCTGTACGTAACGTTCAGATTCACAGGGATTTCTGTTAATGTTTTAGAAGTCCATATTCACTTGAATTCATGAGTTTCTTCTCATCTCTTGCCTTCAGTTTTCTCAGGTACCTCTTTCTCTCGAGTGGAACATGATCTTCATTAACGGCCTGTGGGAGAAGATGTTGCAAGTACCTAATATTGCCAGCCCACCCGTCTTGTCTCAGTGGGTCCATGAGGGGCTTCAGCCATTCCTGGTCAAACCCGAGGTCTTTGCTTGCCTCCATGACAAAACCGTGTCGTGCGAGACGTTTCGAACGATGTAAGTGCCAAACACAAACGTCGTTTCAGTCCCGTGTCGCTGACGTAGCAAAGGGGCCTTTACTCCAGCCTCCCAAAACCAGGGGTTGAGCCTTGTAAGCACTGTGAACTGATGGAGGCCCAGGCAGGGTTTTGGGGCTCCCTCCAAGGCTTTGTAACGCCTCTGGATCAGTCAGCACGGGCAGTGATGCTGGTAGCTCTGCCTTCCCAAAGCAGCATTGCAGGATTGGCAGTGTGGCCCCCGGATGAGCAGGGGGGCTGTTGTGAAGGGATGTCACACTGGTAGCTTTGAAAAGGGATGTGATTGATAATAATACTCGTTTTCAAATAACAGCCGTTTCTGTGAGAATCCAACCCTGCCAGGTTTGACTTCATCTGTCTTTCTTACCCACCTCAGAGTCGCTGCCCTGAATGGCATATATTCTGACCTTTCAGTGGAAGAACAGAGGAATCTTTACACCGGGATCAAATACTATCTCCTCCAGGATGGTAAATGATTTGATTTTCCTTAAGAAAAAACAGAATGCTTTGAGCCACTGACCTATGCTACAACATCAGCTGCAATATGTTAATGAGCTGAGGCTTCACAGGTCTTTGTCAGTTTGTATTGTCTCTTCAGTGGAAATAGGTTGGGAATATGGCAGTGACAAGTGATACCAGGAATTATTTCCCTGTCTGAAGGCTTTATTAATCCAGGATTTTTATAAATCTGCACAGTCAGTCCTACGCTGACTTGCTTCCTGTGCAAATGGCATTTACTGCCGCTGTTGTGAGCCAGCGGTGCAGGGTTTGGTTCTGAGAGCTCGGAAGGGGGACCCAGGAGGACACGCCCCTGTCTCCAGGCAGGGGCTTGCATGCAGAAATAATGTCCTGCAAAAAGTTTTGGGCAGATTTGAAGAAAGAGACTGGTGATGACATATTTGGAGGGCAGGGAAAGAACAAGGCATCTGCCCTGTCCCATGTGCATTTGCAGTCTGATTGCACACACACGCGGGTTTGAGCGTCATGTGGGATCAGAGGCACTTGGGGAGCTCCCTTCTGACAGAGTTCTCTGAGGACCCAAGCCTGTTCCTCACTCAGAAATCTCCAGTCTCCACCGATGGCCTGATGTGGTGCAAGTCTGATTTTACAGTGTCTGCCTGTTTTGCAGGATCAAACCAAAAGTGCTACAATCCAGCCATTCCAGGTCTCAATTCCACTGCTTGGTTTGAAAATTATCTCGGATCCTTTTTGGAGCATGCTACTGTTGAAGACCTGCAGCTTTTCGGTGATGAACCAACAGTAAGTGCAGGCTCGTGATGGTGATGAAGAACCTGCAGTCTGCAAAATACTCGATGCCTGGGAGGTCTATGCCCTGACCAAAATTCATGGAGATGCTGCTAACAGGAACATTTTCTTGTTTATTTATGGTGAACACTCACTTCAGTTCTTATTTTAACCCCATCATGATTTCTTGTGATAAGAGGCCCTTGCACAGAAGTTGGTTTTACACAGGTAATTCTGCAGAGAGCAAACTCTGAGGATCAAGCCCAAACTTTATCTCAAGTCCAGACCAATGTCCAGGCCTGGTTTAGTGAATGACTGTACCAGGCCCGTGTGTGTGAGCGCTGCTGTAGGGGCAGGGTCACATCCTCCCACCTGTGCGCCTTACACACCCTCAGAGTGCAAAGATAAATAAAACAAGGTGCCAGTGTATTACTTAATAATAAATTACTGAATAATAAATGTCCTCACAACTTTAAAGCCAGGTGAAAAACCCTTATTGCTTGAAGTGAGGTTTGTTCAAACTGTCCCAAGTGACTGTCAGGTGTGAAGCATCCATCTAAATTACTTCTTTGTTTTTTTTTTTCCCCCATGTCAACACCCTTAGCTTCAAAAATTTGCCATGGATCCGGTCAATATGCAGATGATCAGCAACCTCACCTTGCTCCGGGAGACGGCTGTGTACTACACCTCGCTACTCACCTCTGCACCTGGTTTTCCCTTATCGAGGTACCTGACCTCAATTCCTACCTGACTTACAGTTTAGCATGGTACCACAACTTAGCAAAAGTTTGCTGAGTGGTGATGCTGATGGCTGCTTCCGTGAAACCATTAAAGCACTTTTCTGCTCCTCAAATCATGGCACTGCACTTCATCTTGGGGAGGGCCTGACGACAAGTTCCAGGTCTTGGGAAAGGACTGGCATGCAGTGCCAGCCACAACTGATGACCGGCAGCACATCTTGCCTGTTTTTGCAGTTTAGCCTGACACAGCAGTGCTCTCTGTAAACGAGAGCATCGGCATCGTCAGAGCTAAAATGGATCAGGGGAAATGTGCACTGGGAAAGGGCATCCATTGGGAAAAAGAGGGAAAGGTCTGACAGAGCCACTGTCTATCACACTGGCAACCTCTCCTTGTCTCCCCCCTGCAGTCTGCCAGACAGATTTGTTTGCTACTTGAGCCCCTCGGCAGTGAGCAGCCTGAGCAGGGACGACGCTTTGAGCTTGGCCCAGCGAATCACTAAGAACTGCCCATCGAACCTGACGCACAGAGGAATAACTGGAGAGCGAGCTCCCTCCTCCCTGACGACAGAGGAACTGCAGGTAATCTCCCGTCAGCCCCACGCTCAGTTCTTCATTAACCTGAACAAAATCTGTGAGGGTTGAGGGTTCAACTCGCATGCCTCCGCTTGTGTACGCTCCTGTAGGTCATCCTGATTTTTTTTTTAATAATCTGAAAATCCTCAGTGGGCGGAGGCAGCCCATCAACAGGCTTCATCGCTCAAGTTTGGGGCAGAAAGTCCAGTGATTTAAGACACACATTTAAGGCTGTAGGATCCAACAGGCTCACCTCATTGCTCCTGACTTTTTCTTGTCTGTGTGGGACCTTTTCAGGTTGCGTCCTCTTTGGTGAGGAAGTTTGAGCATTTCCCTCCTGCGATCCTGCGTGCATTGGGCCAGGCTGCGGTTGGGCTGTCTGTATCCGACATTGAAAACAGCATCACTGATGAAGACCTTGAAGCCTCTATTCCCGCCCTGGGTAAAGTTTCCGGCTGGAACGCTGAGCAGTCCAGCACTATTATCAACAAACTGCTCAGCTCTGGCTATCAGGTACCGAGGATATGGTCCGCGAATGCACCCCACGCCTGGTATAGCTGGCTGCAAGCACATGATGTTTGGCCCTTCACGTACTCATGCCTGCGTGTATTACCTTGCAGATCCCGAATGGACAGAGCCTGGCGACGTTGGGGAGCTTGATGGCTGGCCTCAACAGCAGCACGCTTCAAAGTCTGTCTCCAGAAGTGATCTTAGAAGCTATTCAGTTGCCTGAGTTTGTTCAGCAACTGGTGACCCTGCCCTCTGCTCTGAAAATGGCATTTGTGGAAAAGGTGAAGTTGTTATTCTCTTCAGGCACCATAAATTAGCAAAGCTCTGGTGACTCAGAGCCAAGAACACTGGTTACCTGGGGCCAGGCATTGACACACACCTGCACACCCAGACAGCATTCCCTCGGGGGTGTTTGTTATTGCCACACAGAGCGTGCAGCAGGACAGGCATCTCAAGTCCCTGTCACTGTGCCTGCCAAGATGTCCTTGGCTGCCAGCCAGCGTGTCCTGTGAGCCTCCTGGGCAGGAGGGCAGAGGAGACGGTTGTCTTATGGGGTGCTCCTAGATACTGCCCACTGACTTGAAATGATGCTCTCAGAGAAAGGATGTTGTTGTGGTTTGGAGTGAGACCATGTGAGAAGTGAAGGTGGCTTAGTAAATCCCTTTTAGGCTAGAGTCATCCTCCAGCAATGCAGTATTTCCTTCCCTCATGTGATTGTGTAGGATTTAGACACGTCTTTGCCCTTTTTCTCAATGTGACTTTAGCCTTCAAGTTGCATGTGCAGCATTCAAGTTTGTTGATACTCATCACTCAACAAATAATTCCTCCTCCCTCCGGTAGGAAGGGCTCTGACCTGTGTTTGGCACCAGAGGCCCTGCCTGTGGCATGTTCTGGGACAACGGGGCTGCCAGGGCTCTGTGTGAAGCTTTAGGGAAATAACAGGATTGTTCAGCAATGTGCCTTCGGTGAGCTGAAACACTGCTTGGCTTGGCAGAGGGGAAAGACGTGTCACTGCTTTCTGACTGGTGCAATGTTTTTGGGGCATGGAGCCTGGAGGTGGGAAAGGGATAAGAGACGGGATCGTTCCCATTCATCAGGACCCCCGGTATTAGCTCCCAGCAGCTCTGCCAGGCTGATGAATATGTCAAACAGGAAATAGTTCAGTGTTGGATGTCTGAGAAATGCCCACATGATCAGCAGGGGAGTTTGCCTGGCTTCTTTCCCATTCATTATTTCTTCTCCAGCAATTGTTTATTTTGGCCACGGTGTTTGAATTAACCCTTTTCTTTCTTTTTTTTTTTAAAAAGATTTCCTCCAGTGTAGACCACCCTGCTGACCTGGTTAAATACATCCCTGATGCTCTGGCCAGTTACATTCCAAAATTTTTGCTTGTTTTTGGGGAAAAGAAGCCCAGCGTTCAGGATCTCAACAGTAAACCGTGGACCCGAGAACAGGTAACGCGCTAGCGGCTTGCGTCCTCCTTACCCCGCAGCGTCAGCCTTGGGCGGAAGGAGCTCGCTTTGCAATTCCCCCTGAAAATACAGGTGAAAGTTGCGGAGGAGCACGGTAAAACACTGACGCTCTGGCTTTGCTTCACAGGCTGCCATGTTTTTCAGTGATGTGATACAGGCAGAGCCTGACTTCAGCAGGTAGCGTTTTTCTTCTTTCCTTCCATTTTCCACGTTTGCGTTTGCTTTGATTGCAGTTTTTGGGTTCCCTCTGGTGTGTGTGGCAGACCCACTGCGTTCAATCCGTAGCGACGGATGGGGAATGCCATGCAAACCCAAACATGGGCACTAACATCAGGATTTACCAGGGTGTCAGCTGTAAAATATACCCGGAAGCCAGACTCGCTTTCTGAAACGCTGCTGCCGGTTCAGACTGGAGCCTTGCTTCTGACCGCCTCTGTGCAGGGCGTTTCTGGTCAGAAAATATGCTATTCCAGGGATTAAAGTTAGCTGGGCTGATAGATGTTTATGTCAGCTTTCGTGAGGTGAAAAATTAAGAAAACCATGATACACGTCTGGAAGAACACTGGAGGTGACATCAGTGCCCTGCTGATTTTGCAATAGAGGCTTTTCCATATAGAAAGCATTTCAAGTTTTAAGGACCTCTCCCCAAGCTCTCCCAGGCTGTCCAAACCGGGTTCAGTGATGAGGATCTGCACAGCTCCACTTCACTTTCAGTGTGTGGTGTGTATTCAAAACACAAGGAGGAGACGGATCGTGTAAAATCAGGATACAGCAGTACGGCATGGGGTGGAGAGCTTGTCCCTGCACTTCTGCCTCGTGAGGAGTGTCGGGATTATGTTCATCTGACCAATGATGGCTTCTTGGACTCCCACGTAGGGCAGGACTAGCAATTTTGACGGGATGGAGTTTGGAGACCGTTAAGCTTTGAGAATGGGGGAGGTTTATGCTTGCTTTGTTTGCCATTATATATGATGATCAGCACTGAATTTTCTCCTGGAGTCCTTGCCCCTCTGGTTTGCTTTGTGTGCCCGTTCAGGCTTTCCCCGTCAGTCCTCCAAGGCTTCACCTGCGCAGCTGTCAGTGAGATGGAAGCAGAAAGACTTCAGGAGCTGGCCAGAGTCATGAAGGAGAAGAATGTCAAGCTGGGAGGAGACCAGGTCAGTTCATGTGTTACAAAATGCCGTGTTTGATGTTGCCATGAAGATAGCAATGAGGATTGTTGGGCAAGAACAAAACCACTTCCAGCTTAGGGCACTAGACCAAATGTAGCTGGTCCTGGGTCTCCATCCCATGGGTCTGAATTTCCCCGAAGAGAGAAGTCAAAACCAGTTGGCTGGGTTTCTCAGGAACCAAACCCTCTGCTTGCTGTCTTGCATTTTTCTTACTTTTGGAGCAGAGTAAAATCTTTATATTTGTTTAATTTTTTCTCAAGTTTTCATGCTGGTTTTTCTTCCTTCGATGTAAACTGTGGTGTCCTTTCAGCTGAGTTGCTTAGTGAAGATGGTGACGCTGCATGGGATTCCCAAGGATTTAGATAACTATCCTAAAGACCTGTTGTTGTTTTTAAGGTAACTGTGCTATGGTTCTCATGTTGTTGCCTTAGTATTTAGGGGGGGAAAGAGCTATTACTTCACAGCCTAGCTGGTAATGACTACTTCATGTTTGATGTACAGGTCAAACTTGTTCAGGCCTCCTTCAGGGAAAGAAAGAAATCAGGTTGCAGAAAGCTTTTAGAGGGGTTTTGGGTTCTTTCAGATTTAACCATAATATAAGCAGCATGAAGCTTTTCCCAAATGTGTCTGTTGGGATGTGAAACCAGTATGTGGTTTTAGTATTTCCTGGCTTCTGTGAATGTGCTTTTCTCTTACAACCTTGAAGAAAGCAGACAGTAGAGTGGATTTCTTTGGTCCAGTAGCCACCCACTGTGGTTCTGTATCCAGATCCTGGAACAATTTTAAGCTGAGCCTCACACTAGATTCCTTAAGGTGAAAATGAATTTCTAAAATATGTGGAATAGGATCTTTGGGAAGAACAACTGCATAGAGTTTAGTGTGCAGACGTGGAAGATGTTATACTGGACACAGTATATGTCCAGCAGCCTTGAACCTGACCAGCCACTTGATATCGTTCACTAGAAATCATGGAGTGTTTGTCTTTCTAGCCCTTCAGACTATGCAGCGACAGGAAGCTGTAGGCAGTACTTCACTAATATTGGGAAAGCGAATCTTGATGTTCTGCAGAGAGAGTCACCTCAGCGGAAACAGCTGCTCCAGGAGGCGTTGGCATGTTTGGTACGTGGTGGGTGGTGAGGGGACAGCTCTGCACAAGGCTGGGGAGAACCTGGGGTTCAAGGATGCTCTTCTGCAGCAGCATCCAGCTCTGTTTCATGCCTCTGACTTGTATTACTTCAGAAAATTCCTGGCGCACGAGTAAATGAAGAAAATGCAGAGATTCTGGGACATCTGGTCTGTGACCTGGGTGCAGAATACATCAGAAGTTCTGGTGGGAGTTTGGTGAAGCAGTTAAGGCAGTGTGACTCTTTCCTGCCTGATCAAGAAGAGGCTGTTAGGAGTGTCATCAGCAGTGGTAACACTACATTTGGGTATGAACTGTTCTTCTGAGCATCAGCAAAACAGTTCCCTTGAACTGAACCATTGTCCTATTAAGACCTGAGTGATCTCCAGCTAACCAGCTTGATCAGAAACTTCTGAATGTCACATCGGGCCTTTTACATTGCTTTAGTTGAACTTCTTTCAGCTGAGCAGTTTGGCTGGAATTCCACTGAAAAACACATTGTCGCCTCTGTGCCTTACTGGCTGTAGTTATGAAAGCCTTTCCTCTGGTTTATTTTTCATCAACCAAACTTCCTGGAGACTGTCCCGATGATCATGGCTGGGCTCTAGCTTTTTGTCGGCCACTGACGTTCAGAAAGCGTTCTGTTTCCACCTGTCAAACCGAATGATGCTTGATAAATCCCTGGCTACATCTAACAGGGGCATTGCCCAGGGAGGGCAAAATGTTTTACCTTCCCGTGTCAAATGCCCTGAGATCTCGGCACTGAATTGGGCGGTAGTAAGCAATAGATATTCTTTGGGTTTCATGCTTAAGAAAGCAACGTGTTAAATGCCATTTTCCCATCCAGGTGCCCTTCCTCACATTCCTAACAATGGCTCCTGCTCTGGTGGAATGGAGTTTTGTGTAACAGGAAGTGATCAAGAAGTTTTAGGTTTTAAATCTTGTATTTTCTTAAGTTCAGATGTTACAAGGGCATAATCCTGGCAACTTTTAAGGTGGTTTGTTTGGGTTTTTTTCTTTTATCCTTTCTTGAAAGCTGATACCTGCTAATTTTTGCATGCAGGCCTCCTGCAGCATGGTCAGCGTTTACCTTGAATGAGCTGAGTGGCTTGATTCCTGTATTTGGTCACAGCATCTTGCAGAAGATCCCCAAGGTGGGTTGTTCAGAGGTATGGGGAGTTTGGGAAGGACCCCTAGGTCCTGCAGTATGGAAGAAGTCTGATGGAGGTTGCTCAGCCAGTATGTTTTCAGTAGTGTCTCCATCTAAAAGTGGTGCCAGAGGAGTTGGATGGTCCATGGGGAGTAAGGGTTGATCAAGCTGAGAGCCTGGAACCACAAATGGGGATTGCTGACATCCTCTTTCTGCAACTGTTGGAAGAATACCAGAGGTGGAAAGCAGTAGTAACTATATACAGTGCTTTGTGAGGAGGTAAAATAATTTATGGGGTGTGGGGTATGATAGAGTTTAAACATTTAGAAATTTGCCTTTGGCTCACCAAGGAAAGACCTGTCTATAAGAGGAGGTCTGCAGCCTGTAGGACTTTAACAATGAAGTTTCCTGTCTGAGTAGCAACGTGTTACGCTGGTGATACGCCCAAGATTGCAATACCCTCCCGATGAAACATTTTCTTTGCAGAATGCTTTAACAGTTTGGCTGAGAAACTTCGCACAGGATTCAGCTCTGTCGAGGGAGCAGCTGGCCACTGTTGTTGAAGAACTCCTGCCTACGAGGCACAAGCGTGCCGACGGTAAGGGAGCTTTCTCTGACCCCCCCAGTGGCAGCATCCCCCTGCAGTCAGGGTTGACCCTAGAGCTGTGGGTGTCCCTGAGTATGTCTGTGAAACACTTGGTAGTAGATCACCTGGGGGGGGGGTGGAACCATGACTTTACCCATCTCCAGCAAGGGAGCGTTCAGAGCTTGAAGAAAAAGGATTTATCACTGAGCACAGTCGATAATTGCTTCAACAGGTTGTCCGCCTGGCAAAGAGGTAACAGAGATGGTTTTAAACGATGACTTGATGCCTATTTACTACACACCTGAGGAGTTACACGCTTGCCTGAAGAATGTCTCTCTGGAGAATCACCTCTCTCAGATACTGACCTACCCCTTCAGTGTTGAGCAGTTGGCTGTGCTGAAGAGGGTTCTGGATGAGGTAATGCCAGGCTGGAAAATACCGAATTATCTACTGATGAGATTGCTGAGGGACCTGTCCAGTTGAGTTTAAATATTTCCAAGCACTGAGACTCTTACCACCTCTCTGGGCTCCTCTTCCAATGTTTGACCACTTTTACTATGAGAATATGTATTTCTTAATATCTAATGAGAATTTTCATAGAATCACAGACTAGTTTGGGTGGGAAGGGACCTTAAAGCCCCCCCAGTCCCACCCCCTGCCATGGGCAGGGACACCTTCCACTAGACCAGGTTGCTCCACGCCTCATCCAAGCCTGGCCTTGGACACTTCCAGGGATGAGGCATCCACAGCTTCTCTGGGCAACCTGTCACAGTGCCTCCCCACCCTCTGCGGGAAGAATTTCTTCCTTATATCTAATCTAAATCTACCCACTTTCAATTTAAAGCCATTGCCCCTTGTCCTGTTTTCAACTCCTGGTGGCCCTGATCCTGTCACTGCACCTCTAGGAATTGTGTGACTCCATCCTCCCTCTAATCTTCTATAAGATAGTTGAAGACAGTAATAAAATCCTCACTTAGTCTTCTCTTTGACTGAAAAACCCAACTCCCTCAGCCCCACTACCCCACTTTGTATGATGTCTGCTTCTGCCCCACCTACCCCCCAACCCCTCTGCTAGATTTGCTGGGCTTTGTCAAAGTCTTTCTTATACCAGGAGCCCAAAACTGGATGTAGTAGCCAGATGGGGTCTCACGAGTGCCAGCCAAATGGAGGCACCTGCTGGCTGCGCTGCTTCTAGGGAGCCCCAGGATTTGATTAGCCTTCACCACTGCCAGGCATTCTGCCCACTCCGATCTGTGTTGAGTCAATGCACAGCGCTTCAGGTTTTGGTCCTTCCCCTGGAGCCTGCTTGCCTGAGCTATCAAGCAGAGAAAGGAGAGAGAAGCTTCTGGAATCTCGCTGGCTTTGGTTTTTTACTCCTTGCAGACCTTTTGGGGTTTTTCACCTGAATTTTGCAAAGAGCAAAAATTCATAAGCACAGGCATGATAATGGGTATTCATAGCATTAACAGCGGTCTCTCCACAGATGTATCCTGATGGGTATCCTCAAAGGCTGCTCCCCAACCTGAGCACTCTCCTTTTTTTCATCACCCCGGAGGACATTACCAAATGGAAGATAACTTCAGCTGACACGCTGGCTGCCTTGCTAGAAAATCAGCCCTCTGATGCTCAGGTGGGGATTTGGGTTGGCTTCCTGGTTTGGGAGCTGCTGGTTTAGGACTAGTTTAATGCATTCAAAGACGATTGAACCCGCTTCAGGTCCAAACAAATACACTTGAAATTATTCAAGTTTCATTTTGTAATTACTGCATTTGTTCTTCTTTTGAGGATGAAACCATAAATTCTGGTTCAAATTAACTTTGGAAACAATGAAAATGTATTCCTAGGCATCTGCAATCATCGGACGATATGTTGGCTTGGGAAATGCCTTGAATGCCACTGCGCTGAACGCCATTGGTATGAAATACATCTGCCTCCTAAATGAGACCGAGCTGAACACCATAGACTCCGACAGCTTGAAGTGAGTCAAACGTTATGCTGCTGTTGGCTTCCTGCAAAAGCACTTTCCCGTTGGCTGGTGCCGTTGCCTCCTCTCTCCGCTCAGTGAAAGGAAGTCTGGGAAGCAGCTCAGTACCTGCTCTGTGTCCAGGTTTAAAAGTCTATTGTTCCGCGGCCTGCCAGGAAGGGCTCAGATTTGCAGTCAAACACTCTTTGTTGCACCTCAGCTGACAGCAGGTACGGGCTGCATGCCTGCCTCTGTCTAGAGGCAACAGAGAGATAACTAAAGCTAATGTAAATTCCTTCAGAAGACTGCTACGTGACGTTAATTAAATAAGTACATCTCTGCGAACACGTAAACTTACGCCCACCAACAGAGTCGTCACAGCTTGAGAGACTGAACCGTTACTTTTTTCACTTAGCTTCTTTCCATGCTGCTTTCATCTCCTGGGAAACGCCCAGGATTGTACAGGAGAAGAGCAGGTGACCTGTCCTGTGGAGAGAATCCCAGAGGAATACTCAGAGCACTTAAAAATATATTCCATTTGTAAATACTAAAAACTTTCTCTCCCTAAATCTTCTTTTTTCTGCAGACCGGTATCTCTGAATGTTTCGGCCTGTTCACAGATCACGAAAGACATCTTGTATCTTAAAGCTAAACGTGCTTTCTCGGCCCAGCGCAATGTACCTGCCTACTATGAGCTTATTCAGCCATATCTAGGTGCGTAACAGAACGGTGTGGTACGGGGAGAGAGAGAGGTCTTAGCCAGAACTTCAGTGGGTATCAGATACCATCTGAGATTTGGCAATTTTCAAAGCCAAGTTGTTAAAAGGTTTGGAGAGTTTTGGGTCTCTTCCAACTTGTAGATGGCATAACATGTTCTTGAAAGATTCCATACCCAATTTAAAGTTACCCAAATCAATTGCCCGACTGTCACAGGGAAAATCAAACTCCTGACTTCTGGGATGGGTAAGATCTGCTAGGTCCATGAGAAATCCAGCTGCTAATTCTTGGTGCTGACCTCGCAGCCCTTCTCCGTGTCACAAACCAGAGATTTTCCCCTGTTAAGCCAAGAATATATTCACAGCCTGAGCAAACTTTTCGTACCCCTCTGTCTAGCGTCTGGCATTGTCACAGATGGGTTTAGAGGGCAATACCTGCCAGCAAAATGCAGTAGCATCCGTATATTTTGCAGTTGGAACTCACTCCATAACCTCCAGCCTAATAAATTTTGGAGACATCACTGTAGCTCCAGCTTACACAGATACAGAGCACTGCTCATCCGAGGGTCTCCTCCACGCGCTGATGGACTTTCTCTTGTGTCCCAGGGGGCGCTCCTGCTGTGGATCTCCAAGCTCTAAGCAAGGACAATGTGAACATGAACATTAGTACTTTCGTGGCGTTAAGGAGAGACTCTTTGATGGTGAGCTGAATCTTGAAATTATTGGACTCTTCGCTTTCTTGTCACGCTAAGCAGTTGGGTTTGGTTGCGTTGTCCGTTGGTGTCAATCAGGGGTCACTGTCAAATTCAGAATGATGCTAGACCATCAGAGAAAGTGGAGAACTGGCCTGAAACTTCTTGAAAAACGTGAATTGGAGTCATACGTGAATGTTTAGTCAGGCTTGCCAGGGAATTTCTTCAGAGCAGGCTCCCATAGCATAGTGCCAGGAGCAGGGGACAGGCACCCACTAGACTACAGTCCTCAGCTATGTGACAATGCTTTTAACTACAGTGTTAGCAGTATCATCAATTTTGGAAGAAGACCAGTGACTTGGGCAGGGGCTGGGGCTCCCATGTGTGTTTAGGAGACTTGTCATCAGAGGATAACAGAAACAGGCTTTGAGGAACCATTGTGTTCATTCCCCTTACGGAAGGAAAGAGGGTCCCAGCTGAAACCACTCACCAGAAATTTGCAGCTTCATAGAATCACGGAGTGGTTTGGGTGGGGAGGGACCTTAAAGCCCCCCTGGTGCCACCCCCTGCCATGGGCAGGGACACCTTCCACTAGACAAGGTTGCTCCAAGCCTCATCCAGCCTGGCCTTGGACACTTCCAGGGATGGGGCATCCACAGCTTCTCTGGGCAACCTGTCCCAGTGCCTCCCCACCCTCTCCGGGAAAAATTCCTTCCTTATGTCCCATCTCAGTCTCCCTCTTTCCATTCAAACCCATTACCCCTTGTCCTGTCACTCCCTGCCCTTGGAAAAAGCCCCCCCCTCCAGCTTTCTTGCAGCCCCCCAGGCACTGGAAGGGGCTCTAAGGTCTCCTGGGAGACCATCCTTTTTCTTCAGACTTCTGCTAATAGAAACCTCATTGGTTCCTTGGCCAGAGATGTTGTTTCTAGTCCTGCATTTACATCTGTAACTCTTGCACTTTGATTTCTCCTAGAGCCTGACAATTCCCGAGGTTTGGGGCTTGCTAGGGATAAATTTCCGAGATCTGAGGAAATGGCAGAACAAGTCTCCCATCCGGGAGTGGGTCCAAAAGCAAAAACAAATGGATCTGGATAATCTGCACACTGGGCTCACTGGAGGAACACAAGAAGGCTACATGAACATCGTCACGCCCAAATTTCAGCGTACGTAGCGTGTTGGGACTTCTGATTGTTGTGATTTAAGTATTTATTTTGGGATTACAGCCAGGGGAACAACTGCCGTATCGGACCAAGGGGCTGTCTGTACGAGAGGAGTGAGTGCACTAAGCTGATGTAGCTCCTGGGACCCTGAGTCAGGGCCTTGCTGAAGGAAGTGTGGCCTTGGCCAAACAGCTCTGTTCCTGCTCTCAGCAGGGCTTGTGCCAAGGCCCTGGAAAGTCCTGCTGGCTGCTTTTGTGCGGAGAGAGCAGAGGCTGTTGGGCTGGGCTACTGCAGACCCCTCCCAGTGTCACTTGTCACTGCCCACCCACCCAGCCCCAGTAAAACACATTGGGCAGTCCTCACCACCTCCTGGCATTGAGGGGCACCAAGTTCTGTTCTGCCATGGAGCCTTAAGCCTTGCAGAGCAAATTCTGGGTCCGAGATGAGAAGCAATCCCGTAATCCCACTGAGAGCATCCTTGCTGGTTCAGCTGAGCAAGCACTCCCAGAGCTTCCTCCTCTGCTGTGTTGGGTTTGGGTTGTGTCCTGGTGGTCCCATTAGGGGTGGCTGTTTACCAGTTAGAAAGCCAAAGATCTTCCCTGGATGTGGCATGGAGAGATGTTCCCCTCCATGGGGTTGCTGATCTCTTGGCACTGACATCCCCTCTCTTCTTCTAGCACCATCCTCAGCATCTCTGGGTGCTGTGGCCATGACACTCCACCTCCTGCCTGCTCTGCTTATCAGCCTCCTGATGACGTTGGTCTTGTCTTGAAAATCTTCCCTCAAGAGAAGACAAGGGGAGGGGGACCGGCCTGTCACCTGCTCTGAGGCCTCTTGGGCACAGCCATGCTGGGGGTGAGGGGTGCTAGCAGGCTACTGCTCTGCAGCCCAGGGTTCACTTTTAGGTACTTTTCTCTTTCAAATCTCTCAAACATAAATCAGTGTCTCTCTGAAGGGAAGGTTGCAGACTCTTCAGAGCAGGATCTTTGCCTTTTGTCCAGACCGAGCCCAGGTGAGGCCCAGCCATGTCAGTGCAGCGTAATCAACGCCAGTGTTGTACTGCGCGGCCCTGGCCGCTTTGGGGGTGAGCACGTTGGCTGCTCTGCACGTTAACGATTACGTTTCTGCAAGAGCCTCATCTCTTGGCACTGCCAACGCCTCTGAGCGGGAGCGAAGCTTTCTGGCTCGTTGTAAATAAATAATGAAACAAAGTAAAACCGCCCAAAGCAAGAGTTGCTATTGTCCTTTCTTCGTTCAGACTGATGGCACCTTCCTGTCTGTGTGTGTCGCTCCAGAGGGAACGGTCAGGAACACCAGACGTGCCTGTTACTGACTCAGGGCTGAGGCTGTTCTCAGCTTCCTCTTGGGGAGGGTATAAAAGAATCTGCGTAAGATTTCCAACCCTTTTTTCACCCCATGGGAATTTCTGTCCAAAAGAGCCTCAGTGTCCCCTGTAACCAGCCCCTGAAGTCCCCCTTCTCCCCCAGGAGGAGAGCCGGCCTGCGAAGACGTGGTTGATGTTCGTTGCTCACGCTTTACGCGAGGAGAACAGGACAACCTGGTCTGTTCTTCATGGTAGGCTTCTGGGGGGACGAGAGACAATGCCACTGCCGGCATCCAGGGGTGCTGGGGCACCTGCTGGGGTGGGAGAGAGCCCAGGGAGGTAGGACAGTGCATTTTGCAGCACTGATCCCCTGGTAGAAACCTCGGTTTGCTGCTTCATGCCTTGACTCGCTCACCAAATGACCCCTTAGCCCGAGGAGAACGAAACCAGTGGGTGGAGGATCTGCCAGTTGGAGGCAGGAACTCTTGGAGTAGGGCTATGGGGGAAGAGACACTGGCCAGTGAAGGCACAGCGAAGGAAAGGGAAACGGTTCAGATCTCAGCTGGGTAGAAAAACTATGATACGAAGCGCTGAACACATGAACGAACACACCTGATTAGGGGAAAAAGAAAGGTTGATTGGTGGTTTATTATATAGCATTGCACCAGTAATCGAGATAAACGATCTTCAGTTAATCCTCCTCCAACTAGGCTTGGTGTAGTTTGAGCAAATCTTCATCAGAAATCTCTGAAGTTGATGAAACAAGTGAAACATGACGTGGTGGATCTCCCAGCTTTCGGACCGGGCCTTGTTCTGCCTCTCTGGCAGCGGCCGCTAACTCCAGCCCCTGACCTGTCCCGCTCCTGCAGCAGATCCCAGTGGGGCTGCGCAGCAGTCAAGTACCACTCTGAGTAAAGCCAGTAGGACTAGGCCTGCTGTGGGCATTAATGCCTTGCCAGACCAGTCGCTAATTAGGATATTGTTATATATAGGGTTATACAGAGCAGGTGGGCAGTGAGTGCTCCTTGGGCTTCTTTAGGCTGGAAAAGGGTCTGTTCAGCTTTTACTGCCCAGCCTCAAAAATAATAAGCAACTTCCGTGCTGGTATCAAATGGCCAAACTCTATTCCTTCCCTGAGTTTCCGGTTGCCAGCAGGGAATTTTCTAGCACCGTTGTTTTGCCGGATGGTGGGGGTGGAAGGAGGGATCGGGTGAGTACGGCGCTGGAGGTGGCGGTGTCAGAGGAGCCCTCGCAGCAGTGAGCTTCCCAGGGCTGCAGTCAGGACGTGCACTAGGCAGGAGGAGAGCCTGGATCCTGACCCTACGGGGAAAGACAGAGGAGAAAGGATTGGATTATGCAGACAAACAGCACGCATCAGCTGTCGGGGCAGCGGGGCTGCTTTGGGATTTGGGTCCCGCAGAGGATCGCATGCATCTGGACAATGAGTAGTAGAGGGGTGCTGCGTGCTCGGAAGGTGATGAGACATCTTACGGTGGTGGGGAGCACTGGGACAGGTTGCCCAGAGAAGCTGTGGATGCCCCATCCCTGGAAGTGTCCAAGGCCAGGCTGGATGAGGCTTGGAGCAACCTGGTCCAGTGGAAGGTGTCCCTGCCCATGGCAGGGGGTGGCACTGGGTGGGTTTTAAGGTCCCTTCCCACCCAAACCATTCCATGATTTTGTGATTCTATGAAGCTGCACCTTGCTGGACTTGAGAGCTCCAGGGATCTGAAGGCAGTGTTCTCCAGAGGTGCTAAACCCCCCAAAGCCCCCCCCCCCTGCCTCTCCAGCCAGCAGTGACTCGGGGTTTCTTGTGCGCAGCAGCACACACCGGTGTTGTGTCTGGCTGGGAACAAGGTGGATCGGCTACTGCTTGTCGGTGCAACCTCCTGCCTCGCCATCAGTTCCTCAGCCTTTCCCGACTCCGAACTTACCAGGCTCAGGGTGCAGGTTGATGTACCCGCCGGGTGTTGGTCTCGGGGGCTCTGGCACGCCCGCAGGTGGCTGTTTAGGGGTCTCGCTGGTGGTGGTGGTGGAAGAGGGGCTGAGG